TGGTGAATAGATACTGTTCCTCTTGAACACATTAAATTCTGAGAAGTGTTTATAACAAGCGAGGTGTCTATACCATAAGAGGCTGAGGAAATGAGTATTCCTTGGAATACTCACTTTTTATTATAGCAAATTTGGGGCTAAAAATGGTTAATACATGGGTCCTGTGAGACAAAGGGAACAATCAGAATGTTCCCTTTCAGACCTGCGAACACTATAATTGTGGAAATGGTAACTGTATGTGGTTAAACTGAGAGACAAGTTACTCCACTAGTGGGAAGATCTATATGAAATATACAGCATTGTCTTGGTATCAAGAGGGAGATTTCTCTGGGTCTGAGAACTGTCCATGTCTTCAAGTCACCTAATATGGACAGCTAAGTAGGTGGACACACAGTCACTCAACCCATCCTTGTCATTAGTCTACAGACCAAGTTATCCTGCCTCTCCCCAAGCCAGAATAAGTTCAACATCACATTGTGACTTTTACTGCAGTGCCACAACTATAAGGAACATTTAACAAAAGACCTTCAAGCATTTAGAAAATATCTATCATGAGTTTATTGTGGCAGGTTTAGGAGTGGAGGTAAAATATTAATGAAACATATTTTCCTTCTCCTCCAGTTGATTAGAAGAGCAAATAATACACAGAAAACTAGAATGTGATGAGTCTGAGTACAGTGTGCTACAAAAACACACACATGGAGAAGGGGGCATATTGTGAGTGGTTGTTGGCCAGGCCCAGAAGAGGGAGGCAGTTCTCTCAAAATACAGGATGTTGTGTGAGTCTGTACCTTGTGTAGCAGCTTTGTTGACATCAGTGTTGATGATGAATAGAAAACGCCCTCTGTGCCCTGAACATCTACTCTATTTTCAGAAAAAGCAAAATGGAGTATGACACCCAGAGTACTGTCTACACAGCTAATGAGAATTTGCAGAGCAGGGGAAAGGTACATTCTGACGAAAAGATAGCAACAAAATTTACAACCCTCTTAGTCCCTTGCCAAAAGGGTGTTTGTGCGAAATACCAAATACTTTGAAAGCCTTACAGACAATAGTATGTTAACAGTGTCTACAAATCACTGACAACACAATAAGCATGAATTTCTACAGAACATTTAAACAAGAGCTTCAAAACCCTCGTGAACTTGTTTGGGTGACTGACAGCATCAGCAAAGACAGACACTCTTTGTTCTGGGAGGTAACTAATTCTCCATCTGTAATTTTGTCACTGAGGCATAGGCTAGTCAGAGGAAAACAAAAAATAGCCCTGGAATAACTGGAGATTTTCTACTAAAGAAATTTTTTTTCAATGGCTTCTTTTTTTGGAGGGGGGGGTCCACACAAAAAAACATCTTTTAGGCACCGAAGCAGAGACTTTTTCCATATTTTCCTTTCTTTACTGGGCTTTGAATGTGTTATGGAAGTCAGTGTATAATTCTTTAGATGTACTTTTAGTTGGACTACCATTTTCATCACACTACAGTCACCAGGAAGGCAAATGTAAGTGCTGCTTCCTAATAAACAACTACCTCTTCTATTTTCAAATTACTACTCGTGTGGTAGTAATTTCATTTTCTATCTTTGAGGTTATTGAATCAATTCAGAAGATGTGCCTCCATAAAAACCTTATCAAAATCATATGCCCGCCTGTGGCAAACATACCGACCCATATTTAAACTTCCTATAGTCACATATGTCTTTGATAATATTGAATGTGCAATCGTCCCCATCATTTCACCAAGTCATTTAAAGACAAAACAATTGTTAGGTGCTCCAAATGATTTTTTTACACACCCACTAGCAACAGTTAATATATTCTTTGCCCTACAACCTTCTAAATGTTTATTTCAGAATAGTAGAGGAGAAAAATACTTCTATTTCACTGAATAGGGAGTTTCATTCAATGGGAATCAATGATATGTAATGAAACAAAGCACCTCCAATTTAGAATGAGAAAGACCTGTCTTTGAATCTTGGTTTTGTTGTTTTCTGGTTGTATGACCTTGGGAAAATCACTTAACATTTCTGAACTTCAGCTCCCTCAGCTCTAAAATAGAGATAATAGTAGCTACTTAGGTGGATAGTTGTGTTAATAAAGGCATTATGTGTAAAACACAGTACACTGCCTGGCTTGCTTCAGAGACTCAATGTTAGTTATTGTCATGATTGTTACCAGTACTAACATAGCTATTTCATTAACTTCAGATTTCATCTTTAGTGATTTTTTTCAACACACAATTCAGAAGAAAGAGCTTAGGGTTTGAACTACTAAAACCTATGTTTGAGTCACGAGTGGTCTGTGGAACTCAGAAAAAGTCACTTAACTTCTCTGAACCAGATCTTCCAGTGGAAAATCTGTATACAAATGCCTACCTTGCCAGATTATTAGTAAGATATGGCTTCCTTCAATCTTTGCAAAGGAAGCCATTCTTCACATCACATAGTAAACATTCAATGAATAGTAACAGCTAGTATTAATATTATTGTGATTTAAGTAGTTGAAAAACAAGTTATCGCCTGACGTACATACCTTGGAGTCCCATAATACCATTTATACAGGGGTGGAAAGCAGTGTTATCCTCAGCTACAACTCTGCCGGCTGCTGATGCCCTAGCATGTTCTACAAGTACTACAATATTTACTGAGGACTTCGTATGAATGCAGTGTTGATAAAATTCAGAAACTGGGACCCCCCCCCCAAATGTCATTGTTGATACAGGATTCCACCACACAAAGTTGGACAGTGACTCCCCCATTCTCTAGGCCCGGGTGAGCTCAGCATCAAACCCCTATTTCCAGGCACAAACAGGCTGCCTTTTCCAGGACACACCCTCTGTTGTCTAACAAAATCATGAATGAAGCAGCCCTAGATGTTTTTTTGGGTGGTTCCACCTTGAGTAAGGAGCACATACCCTAATCCCTTCCCTGAGACAAAAACTGCAAAGACCTAATAACTTTGCCCCAGCAGAGGGACTGCATTCAACTTTGAAAGGCTATTTTTCCACCTACGAAATCCTAGCCAAAATGTAATTCTCCAGACAATATGGACCCCCCGGCCCCCCAGACAAAGGGCCCATGTGAGAGATTTCCCAATGGGTCTTCCCCCTTTATCAGAGGCTCTGGTACCTTTTTTACTGCTTCTGTATTCCTTTCTGTCTAATAAAATCTTATCTTACCACTGATTTGTGGTCTGTGGGTTCATTCTTCAAATCCCCGAGACCAAGGACCAACTGAAGAAGAAATTCTGGTATCATTATGATACAGTATATTTAAATATCCCAGATAGTTGCATAAAACCACTACAATCATGTGAAATATTCTACAGTATTATCCATGCATATTTTTTAAATTACATGTATAAAATAACTCTTATTTTCTTGGGGAAGGCAAATAGAGTTGTGATAGCTGGAAAAGCAAAAAATAAAAGGGCCAATCCTCTCATCCTTAATCTTCTCCAAATCAGTTAAGTTTGGCACAGCAGGGAGCATTAGAAACTGAATTATTCACCCAGTTTGTCATCATCCAGACGTTTTAAGTTAGCTGTTTCCATTCATTCCAATCAGTGGTAGTGACTATCACTGCTGGAGAAAGGTACAGGTCTTAAGGTAACAAAGGTATCTCTCAGTAATTCAAAAACATCTCTGTATATGACAAATAATTGATTTTAACATAGAAAACAAGAAGAATATTATATATAAGAACCAATTCTTCAGAAACCAAAGGAACAGGACTGAGATTTGTTTTAATTAATGGATTTTATTTCTTAGAACTGAAATATTCTAAGGTTCTCAGATCTAAACTTTCAAAGCTACAGCCAACAATTTTTCATCAGAGCCCAAGGGAGGAGGGGGGAAGTGAAAGAAATGAGAGGCATAGAGACTACCAAGAGGGTAGGAGGGGATACACGTTCTTCTGTCCTCTCAGTAGGTTACATATCAAATCTAGTGATAACACTTATGGGGCCAGGTGGGGTAAGCAGATGGAAAATGACCCTACAAGGAACACTGAAGTCCTAACTACAAAAAGAAAGCCATCAGACCCACAAGCAGAAAGGAAGCGTTCCAGCTCATCTCAGAAATGGGGAGAGCAATAGGAGAGCTAAGGGCAGTGTGGAGGCACACCCAGGGAAAGTTCTTAATTTTCTTTGGAATTTCTTATTAATAATATCATCTAAAATATGTCTTCTTTTCCAACTCTGAGGGATATAAATGACGGTAGAGTGGCCTTGAGGCATAGGGAGAGGGAAAGGGGAAGCCAGGGATCTCCCCAGCATATCCCATTTGTAGCCCCAGAGATCTAAATGGGCACAGACTATTTCTCACCATCAGGCAAAATCAAGCCTTCAGAGCTCACAAACAACTTGGAAACTCCCAATGTTTTTGATGAAAAGTGACAGCTCCCAGAACTTCCTTGGTCAGTCAAAGACCTTATGGAAGGGAGGACCGTCCCCACAAGCTGTCTCACTTTCTTTGAACGTATTAAGTTGAAATAACAGATATGGGAGGAGGGGACAGGAGCTCGGAAAGATGTCAACTTTGTCCCCAGGCCATCCACCTGCTCCTCCTCAGTTTGAAGATGGTTCCTTCCAGGCCCTAGAAGTGACTCCCTGCTCTTTATCCTCCACCCCATCAAGTCTCCTATCCCTAGAGGTCCAGAATGCCTGGCGGGGAGGGAAGGAGGGATGTCAGGAGGTACAAAACAGCCTGTCTAGGCCCCAACAGAAGCCCAAGAAAACAGTTCCAGGCATGGCGGCCTCATTTCATTCCAGGGAGGAGAGGCCCAGATCAGATTACAGGAGCATTGGGGGTACAGACTTGAGTGGCCTTGACCTGCCCCGTCCAGGTGGAGGCCCGAGGGCCGGGTTGGAAAGGGAGAGGAACAGAGGACTGAAGGTGGGGATGGGGAAGGCAGTCCCAGTCTGCAGGCCAGGCCAGATTTCCCAGAAACAGCCAGGCCACAGCAGGAACGGGGCAGAGGGCTCTTCTTAAAACAACTGCTGACTACAGGCTGTCGCCATCTCTGCAGCCCGGGGCCTCGACGTCCATCTCTGCAGCGTCCTCAGCCCCCTTCTCTGCGGCGTCCTCCATCCCCGTCTCTGCGGCGACTTCCGCCCCTGTCTCTGCGGCGACCTCCGTTCCCGTCTCTGCGGCGTCCTCAGCGCGCGTCTCTGCGGCGACCTCCGCCCGGGTCTCTGCGGCGACCTCCTCCCGCGGCTGCTGCTGAGGCGCTCCCCCGGCACAGCCAGGCTCAGCGGCGGCGCCTTTGTGCTCCACCTCCCGGCCCGGAGGCCCCTGGCCCTCGCAGGCCGCCGCCGCCGCCTCCTCTTCGGGGGTGTCCTCCTTGGGCCGTTTGGCGGCGTCCTCAGGCAGGTCCCCCGCGCTCCTCTTCCGAAGCCCTTTCTCCTCGTTGTCGTCCTTCACCTCTTCCGCGGGGATCTCCTCGACGACCAGCTTCCCCGGCCCGTCGCCGCCGCCCTGAGCGTCGCTCTGCTTGGCCGCGTCGCCCTGGGTGGCCGTGGGCTCCCGCTGGGGCCCGCCCGCGCTGCGCGGCCCCGGGGCGCCCTGGGAGTCGGCCGCCTTGACCGTGGGGTTGTTCTCGATCTCCCACAGGCCCTCGCTGAAGCCGCGCCTCTTGTTGGGCTTGCCAAACTTCTCCTTGGACTCCTCGTAGGGGAAGAGGTACTTGGGGCCCAGCAGGGCGGTCTCGTGGGTCCCGAAGAAAAACACCTGGTACCGGTTAGACTCGGCCATGTGCTCTATCCGGGCCGGCCAGTGGGCAAAGCCTTTTAGCTTGGCGAACACCAGGTCCCCACTCTTATATTTGTTCTTGCAGTAACGCGACATGGCGTGGGCTGAGGGACCAGCCTCGGCGACGGCCCGTAGGCGACACCGCAGACCGCGTGGCGGAGGTGGCCGCTGAACTAGGACTGTCGCGTGCACCCACCTCTAGAGGGTCCCCGCGCACGCACCGACGGGGCGGGCAACGCGCCAGCGCACCTGGAAGGTTCCACCACGAAGAGTGTTATTATCTCGAGAGACGGAACCGAAGCCGGCCTGACCCACCCTCCGACGACGAGGTAGTTTCTATAGAACGATAGAATCTTGGATAGCTCGGTGGCGGTTGTGCTAATCAGTCGCTAGGGCACCTGGACTGTGACGGTTGCAGAGTTCACTAGGTGCCAGAGTGGCCTAGAAAGAGGGAAATACGGCGAGAAAACACAGTGGCATGATTAGGACATATTTCCAACTGCTAACGGCCTGGTGCAAGCAGGCAGTGCCCCTGCATGGCCGAGTCTGCTCCCTACGGGAAACTACACCTGCATCACGTGCTACTGATGTGCTGGCTCTGTCAGTGGCTGCCACCCTTTTCTGATTTCCTTGGGGACTGGCACTGGACCCTACCCGAGGCCTCAAGAACAGGGTGGAGGGTCTGACAAGGGGATAGAGTCAGCAGTATTGTGTGTCGAGTACACCTCATTTAGTAACAGAAATTTCAAAGATCATTATGCCTTTAGGGTCACAAAATATTATATAGCAACACCATGACCGTGGCAAACCAGACAATCAAAATATCCTGCTTTACATGGAAAGGTTCCCACGGGTGCCAGACAGGGACTTTACTCTTTCAGTGATTCTTGCATATCATGAAAGATGAGGCTGTATATTATAACACTGAGAGTATGGCAAGTACTCACAGTATCTCCGTACTAAAAGGAAAATTGGGTTCATTGTACATAAGAATTAGGTGGAGGTCTGCAGACGTGCTGTTGGTAATAAGAAACTTCCTGCGGGCTACAGACTGAAAAAGCATAATCTCAGCTGAGGGACTATTTTAAGAAGATAATTTCTTTCAGATATAAGTCTATTCTAAACTGATAAGAATGAGCGTTTTAGTGCAACTGTAGTTGTTATATAACTTTCTGCATCTTTCTTGAGTGGTGCTAGCTAGCTGTGAACAAGCACTCTGAAACCTAGCCAAGTTCATCATCATGGTACTCTTGGCTATTACGACCAAGACCTTTCAGTAGGAATCATATTCCTTTTTGTGCAACCGACAATGACCAGTGGAGAAGTAGAACCCTTGACCCATTTCTGTACAACTCAGATTTGTTTTCCATATGCTGGATTAGGTCAGCCATTTTGTCTCTGGGTGTGACGACCTGCCCTGGGCAAAAGGGGGATACCTATGTCTCCTAACATGGTGAAACAAATATGATTTCCTTTGATAATTCTAAACAAGTTCTTTTAGCTCTTCTGTCAAGCCCTGTTTTAGAACACCTATCTGCCCTGCAAATATTTCACAGCTTTATCACAGTAAACAACATCCACAGTGCATCACTTCACATTCAGTAATCAAATCAATATCCTGCTACAAAGATGAATCGTAAAACAAGTAAAAAAGTGCTAGAGAACTAGAAATGTTTACTGGCTGTGGGATAAAATAGGAAACCATGGACAGATATGGCCCCCATAGCAGGAAGGAATTTGGAATTTCTGTAAGCAGAGAGCTTGCTGTATGTCACTCCCCCTCCCCCCTTTTTCCTCCTCACTTCTAAATATGCTGCACCAATGCACTGATCATGTATGACAGTTACTCAAGTTGAAGAAAGCTTGCCAGAGAAGATGCCCAGAAAGGGGATTTAGCTATATCATTAGCTCAGTCTCAAGGCAGGACCAAACCTAAAAACCAATTGCTATATGTAAGAGCAATCATAGGCAAATTGGCCACGCTAGAATAAGCCAACCCACTGCAGACCAACAGGTGTGGGTGTATTAATTGGACTAGGGGGTCTGAGGGTTAGAGCAATACTAACACCTATCAAACACTGAGATTAAAAAAGTATAGTAGGAGGTAGAAGCAAGAAGGTGCCTCCACCCTTGCCCACTAAGGCAAAGTATGATCCTTAAAGGCTGGCACAAAAGATGTTTAACTTTGATGAGTTTAAAACCTAAGAAATGAAGTATAACAATTCATTATGGAGCAATACGAGCTAGTCTTCAAATGCTAAATCATGTGTTCTTTGCATAAATAGCAGAAGAATTTTAAGAGAAGTCGATGGGAGTGTGGTCATCAGGACAGGCCTATGGAGGGGGTGGTTGGAGATAGAAAGAATTCTGGCATTCCTCACTTGTTTACTAGTTCTGTAAGGCAGGGAGTAGACATAATCCTTCTGAATCTCTGCTACTTCATCTGAAGAAATTTAAAGTGATATTTAGAATTGGTCTCAGGATTGTAATAAAATATTAGTGAGATTATGGGCAGGACAGTCCAGACAATGGGTATAAAGGTTATAATGTGCTGATTAGTGTGAAGTAAAATTTTATTACAGATAGGATTAGGCTATTATTATCAGTAGGCCAACTGAGGTAAACAATATGTCAAAAGGAGTAGAGAGTCATGAATAAGGACACTGATGAATGAAGAAAAGTCCTCACCAGCCAAATTGCATGTTACAGAAATTTCATATCCAGCACAACTTCTTCTGTATGAAACTGACATAAAAGTTCTTGTTACTTGGAAATATGATTTTGAAAAACAGTGCTCGTTAATTAAATTTATCACCTCCTGGTAGTTTAATTCAAAAAAAGAAAATGTAAGAGAAAGAGGGAGAAAAATAAGCATGCAGTTAAAGAGAATTTAATGGAGACCACTTTCAGTTGTAACTCCACTCTCAGACACAAGTAAGTGGAGTGATCTTGGTTTCTTTTATCTTTGAAACCAGCTCTTTTTTTTCTTTTTTTCTTTTTTTTTGGTCTTGTTTAAAGTGAGGAAAGGAGGGAGGAGGTATTCATGAAAACAGGGTTTGGTTTAGATTTGGCTCCTACAAACAAAATACTCATGAGCAACTGCAACTATAAACTTTCAGTAACTAGATCTCTATGAGCTCAACTGTTTCTAATAGGTCAGGATGTTATAAAAATTAAATACTAAGAACACCTGTTTATAAAGAGGACCTAATTTCAGCAGCAGCATACCTCTCAAAAAACACTGCCAGTCCAAAACATGTAACATTTCTCAGTTTCCTTTTCTGGAAAACAAAAGATGGGATTTAGAAGCTGCTTGGCAAAAAATTATAGAATATGGGTAATAAAACAATATAATTACACAAGAGAGAATAGATATCTAATTGATGTTTTCTTGTTTAATTAATTTTAAATTCAATAAGTTTGGTGTAAACTATGATTTTTAAAACATGTTATTGTTTTCTATATGCTATTGTCATTATTAAAAATATTAACTACCTCTATAAAGAGGTTTATAAAATAGAAGTGTTTATATATGGTTGGTATTAAAAATCAAGGCTTTCCTTTTAAATGTTCCAGCAAACATTATTACACAGAAAGTAAGTACTCCCTCCTTTATCATAGGTAGAAAATCCCCCACCGTTCTATTTTTAAAAGTCACAGGAAATCTATTTCAATTTATCAGTGTCCACCTAGCTTAAACTTTAAAACCACAGGGACAGGCTGGGCGCGGTGGCTCACACCTGTAATCCTAGCACTCTGGGAGGCCGAGGTGGGTGGATTGCCTAAGCTCACGAGTTCAAGACCAGCCTGAGCCAGAGTGAGACTTCATCTCTAAAAATAGCCAGGTGCCTGTAGTCCCAGCTACTTGGGAGGCTGAGTCAAGAAAATTGCTTAAGCCCAAGAGTTGGAGGTTGAAGTGAGCTGTGATGCCATGGCCCTTTACTCAGGGTGACAAGTGAGACTCTGTCTCAAAAAAAAAAAGGAAGTGAGTTAAACCTGTTTCTGCTTTGATGATGGACTTTGGGGAGGAAGAGGCGAGAGTACAGATTTTTTCCAGAAGTATTTGTGTGGTAATTTGGGCCCCTTTGGCCAGTGATAAAAGGTATGAGGTGGTATACAGGAGGCAGTTGGAGAGACTGGGATTTTTTTTTACTAGACTGCTATTTTATTGGCCATGGAAAGAAAATTGCCACTCCAGAATCAATAAAAGTGGTAAGGTAAGGAACATTATATTTCATTATTCTGATTTGAGGGTTTAAAAATTTTTAAGTCTATTCTCTGGGGAAAATTTTGTATTTTAAAATGTGTTTAAATAATATGAATATTTTTCTAATTTTGTGTGATACTTATTGAAGCCTTGCCACATGAAAATTTTTGAGTTACTGATCTATATATTTAGCTAAGTTTAAATGCAGAAAAAGTCGTCCATGCTGGTGAGTAATCAATAATTGGAGTGAGTTATATATAACATAGTCTATTTATATAATAAATAGATGATTCTATGGGCATACTCTGTGTTCATAAAGTTTTAAAGTACAACTTTAGTTACTTAGAAAATGTTCACAATCCAACGTTGAATGAATAAAAGGACTGGACAAAATGTATATTTAATAGCATTGGTAATTTAAGAGCTTATGTGAAACCTAGTCCCTTAAGTCTTTCAATAACCTATGGCTAATCCTAGGACCTATCTGAGAGGAAGATTGTTTGTACAGAACAAGACGATGGGTGTCAAGTATGATGCTGGTACTTATTAAGTAAGAAGTGTTCAATTATTTTCAGCCATTCCTCTTAACTTAGCTAGTACTAACTCTATTGTGTAAAGTACTGATCTTTTATTTTTTTGCTGTATGATACATATTTTTTTCTTGCTAGTATTAGGTTTTTAGTTTTTGTTTTTTTTTTCCTACCACACATTGTTTCTGGTTGTGAATGTAGCTTGACACCTTACCAGTGTTCTTTTAATTTTCTTATAAGCATATAAAAAATTTTTTTTTTCTGAAAACCTGCATTGTTGGTGCAATAAAAACATGTTTTGGAAAAACCCCAGAATCAACCAAGTTGTGTCTATAAGCAAATATGGAACTTGACTTTGT